CGAGACTCATTGACGATGCCGGCGAAAAGACTGGGAATGTGCCACGTCCACAATCCGACTTTGGAAATGATCATGCATACAATGGACTCCGGACAAGGTGTGTTCCTCTAAGTCCTTCTATCAATGTGACCAAGTTGCGAAAACATGGTCGAACAATTTTTAAACAACAAAAGGAGACTGCGACCACACAAAGTCCACACCATCTTGGTATTTATGCCTACTAAATTCTGTTTATATAAGATAATTGCTAAGATATTCTAATTAAATTCAGCAGTACCTTCTGGCATTGCAGCTTCTCTTGGTTAACCTGTACAAGCTCCTTAAAAGAGCTGACTCGGTCAACTCAATTGTAGCATTTGTTCATACTTTTTCTGCTTTAGAAATTATCACAGTTTATCTCGATTTCATCTATGCCTCAAATTATCTTCAGTTTTGGGATTTTTTCTGATATGCTCCGTAGAGACTCTTTATTTTTAACCTTAATTCCTTCTTTTCATAGGTATCGAGCTAAATTACCCAATAATCAAGGCTGATTATTTATTTCAAACCTTCGACACCATTTTCTTTGCAGATAATTTTTTGCGTATCTTTTGACATACTCTCGCATGCTTTAATCCATCTGTCTTCTGTACGATATTAATCTTGAACACTGGAATTTAATAAGAGAAGCCATTAAAAATATTATTGTACTTTTCGATTTTGCATATACATGATCGCTATAGTTACATATCCTGGGTCACAATAAATAAACTCGTTAACGAAACTCTAAATTATCTCCTGATAGAGATGTGAAGGCTTCACAGTAGATCCATCTCTTTCCAACGTTTCAATTATCTTAGCGAGTCAAGAGGAAGAGAGATAGAAGGCTTAATTTCAGGAAAGTTTCGATAGGATACCATTTTAATACTTGCGCCATTTTAGTCACTATAATAGCAACAGCATTATAATATCATGTAACATTTATAAATATATTTTCTTTATAGCTATTTTCTTTTATCTGTTATTTTACATGATTTTGCCTTATTTCAAAACTAAACATGTTATTCATACAAAAGACACTTTATGTTAATAAATCAAGTTTTGATTATTCTATCATGCATATTAACTGAACGAAGTGATGACATTTAATTATCCTTTCTATGGGCAGAATGAGGGCATGATAGGATTGCTGTTGAAGATGATCGACAACTTCACTAACGCCTTCCGCAGCTCTCGTGAGTTTGCTCAACTCGTGGGTGAAGAGCAGGCTGGGCAGTTTGATCGACTAGGGAATTATCTCTACAAACTGTTAGCAGCGCTGATACGAGGCAACCGTGAAAATTGCGCTCAGTTTGCTGCACCGGCTCGCCTCGATTGGCTCTTCAACCGACTTGAGTTGCAGCAGACCTTTGCTGAAGGCGTGCTTGACGCTTTGCACTGTGTACTTACTGATTCAGATGAGGCTCTCAATTTGATTCAGGATCGGCACATCCGCACTCTGATCGGACTTCTGGAGAAGCAGGGCAGAGATCCTCGAGTTTGTCATGCTCTATTAAATATTTGTTCAATTTAGGTCAAATTTGCATATTTCTTTTATATACCTATAGCCTCCTTTGATTCATCACTTTAGAATCGCACCGGGAAGAGAAAGTAAGAGAGTTAATGATAAGCCCAACAAATGTGCTTGTTATGGCAAAGCGGAATCCTTGCCGTCTGTTTCGAAGAGACATTAACAAGAGCTGTATTTACCCAAAGTAGCATACTCTTAGATATGAAGACCAAGATAGTATATTATCATCAAGGATGGGCTACAATCTCTACCACTGGTCTCTTCCGTATCCTCCGTTCCCACGAAGATCTAACTTGGGTAGGGCATGGCATATTTTCGACATGT